TCATTCTAGACCTAATTTGTTACGCTGTGCCAAATTTCGTGCAAATCGAAAGATATATAGGGACTTTGGTGCACCATTTACATTAAATCTGACGAAAGTATATGTGGGAGCTATATATAAATCTGAACCGATTTTCAGGCAACTTTACACACATCATTCTAGACCTAATTTGCTACGCGGTGCCAAATTTCGTGCTTAAATCGACTCAAAAAGTGATTCTATGCATATTCTCAAAAGGAACCATGGGTCTATCTCGATTATTTTTGCATGTTACAAACATATGCACAAAAACATAATACCCTGTACCAGAAAAAAGAATTTGGTTCAAGAACCTCATAACCTGGGGGCTACCAGAAAAAATTTACCAATATTTATAATTTATAGTGGAGAGATGTGCTACCTAATAAGAACTAGACGTACTAAATTACAGTCAATTTGGTCGAAAAATCCGATCAGAACCCCCAAAATACCAAAAATTTTGGGGTACCGTTATATGGGTACTACCAGAAAAACTGGACCTATATTTATAATTTTTAGTGGAGTAATTTGGTACCCAATAAGAACCCAATGTACAAAATTTCAGCGAATTCAGTTATAAAACGAGCCCAAAACCCCGAAAATACCGAAAATTGGGGGTGCCCTTATATGGGGGCTTTCCGAAAAAATGGACCTTTATTTATAATGTTTGGTAGGGGGATTAGCTACCCAATAAGAACACAAAGTACCAAATTTCAGTGAATTCGGTCGAAAAATGCGATCAAAACCCCCAAAAAACCGAAAATTGGGGGTAATCTTATATGGGGGCTATCCGAAAAAATGGACCTTTATTTATAATTTTTGGTAGGGATATTTGCTACCCAATAAGAACTCAATGTACAAAATTTCAGGGAATTCAGTTAAAAAACGCGCTCAAGAACCTCAAAATACCGAAAATTTGGGGGTACCCTTATATGGGGGCTATGCGAAAAAATGGACCGTTATTTATAATTTTTGGTAGGGAGATTTGCTACCCAATATGAACATAAAGTACCAAATTTCAGCGAATTCGGTCGGAAAATGCGATCAAAACCCCCAAAATACCGAAAATTGGGGGTAATCTTATATGGGGGCTATCCGAAAAAATGGACCTTTATTTATAATTTTTGATAGAGAGATTTGCTACCCAATAAGAACTCAAAGTACCAAATTTCAGCGAATTCAGTTAAAAAACGCGCTCAAGAACCTCAAAATACCGAAAATTTTGGGGTACCCTTATATGGGAGCTATGCCTAAACGTGGACCGATTTTTTCCAATTTCAATAGGGTTCGTCCTTGGGCCAATTAAGTGACCTGTGCCAAATTTCATCCAAATCGGATCATAAATGCGACCTGTACTTTGTTAACAAAAATACATGGACGGACGGACAGACGGACGGACGGACAGACGGACAGACGGACATGCATAAATCGACTCAGAAAGTGATTCTATGCATATTCTCAAAAGGAACCATGGGTCTATCTCGATTATTTTTGCCTGTTACAAACATATGCACAAAGACATAATACCCTGTACCACAGTGTGGTGAAGGGTATAAAAATATTGAAATATTTTTAGTTGCAAAGTTAGGTTAGAAAAAGGCTAAAAAATATTTATTTTTATTAAACGTCAAAAAAAATTATTCAAAAAACCATTAACGAAAATTTTAGCAATTATATTAATATTATAATTATTATAGAAATTGTAAAACCTTTAAATAGTTAGTTACATTAAAAAGTGAGGTTAGAAAGAAATAATTAGAAATATAAAATTAGTAATAAAAATAATGATAATAACAGATTCAAACAGAATAATAATAATAACGTATATTATAAAAAATATTAAATAACAGAGATTACAATAAAAGAAAAACGTACAACAATATAAACGTAGCAAAACAAAAAATAATCACTAAAAAATTTTGAGGTTAAAACGCAAATATTTTTGAGGTTATGTATATTCCTTGTCCTTAAATAAACAAAAATGTAAAGAACAATTCTAATTAAATTCGAAAGTGGTTCCAAAAATGCTCATATATGAGCTAATATTAATTGAAAATACCTAGAAAAAACATAGTCAATTCGAAACTAATTCCGAGTAGTATTGAGTAACTGTCCCCGTACTGCAAGAATCTACTATTTTTTACTACGATAACATTTTTTTCTTTAATATATCGAAAAAATAGTAAAAACTCGTAGATTCTTCCAGTACAGGAACATACCACATGTGAAAATTTAAATATTATTTTTAATTAACAAAATTTTATGTAAATTTGTTCATTATTATTATTTTTTAATTCAAGAACAAAATTCGCTCAGTTTTTTGGTGTTGAAAAGAACATTTTTTTTGTAAATGCTATACAATTGGCAGTGCTTTTCTTTTGAATTTAAAAAAGATGGGAGTTTTATTGTTAGCTTTTGAGATTCATACAAAAAGTGATGTTAAAAATTGAGGTAATGTTTCAAAAGACAGAATTTTGGAAAAGTAGTCAAAAACACTATAATATATAATAATCAAATATTTATTAAATATTGTGTAAAGTCGACTACACACTATCACTTTAAACTGTCATTTTTTATCTATCGATTACTGACGACAATCCATCATATCCATGAATATTTTCTTGAATGCCTGTTGATGATGATTAAAATCTATTAATAAGATCACCCAGCTGGGGAATATCAGTTAATAAAACAATGCAAATGAGACAAGCATTGACAAGCATTATTAATATGATCACCCAGAAAGTAAAAAACATCTGTCAAATTAAATGTCAAAAATTTGGACGTTCTTTACGTTTTCATAATGGGAAACAATTAATTTAACAATGATAGATTTTGACAGCAAACTTGAGAAGTAGCTTATTTACAACTCATCTTCTTGGATGGTCTTATTAAAAGGCCTTGGTTTAAACATTTAAGGGAACCCCCCCCATTCTCAATTTGTTATGTTTAAGATTTTAAATGGGCTGGTAAATGAATACCAATGCTTGTTAAGGTTTGTAACTTTGCACATATATATTTGAAGATTTAAAGAGGAAGAAAAATAATTTACAAAAAAATTTTGTTGTTGTTTTTTGTGATCAAAGAAAAGTCCTTATTTTTGATGGCGGGCATGATAACTCCTCACTGGAACATCGGAATCCGAAAATTCCAACGGTGTTAGAAAGAGTACATGTCTGGCTCTCGTATGAACTAGGATTATTGACTTCGCTCTAAAATTAACAAAATGGCGGAACTTTGAAAAAATATTTTTGGAAAATCGCCGATTTTTTACCAAAAACCAAGTTAAAAAATAAGGAAGATCTTCACCGATTGGCTTTATCCTAGTTCATACGATAGCTATACACTCACAGAGAAACGTGTAAAAATTTGGGTTATTAGTTTTTGAGTTATCGTGCCCGCCATTCGCAAAAAAATGTTTAGAGAAAAACGCGTTTAAAGTTTGAGAAGCCCTTCAGCCGTCACTTGATGCTGACACAATAAATCGGCTATATCTTCAAGAGTTCTTGAGATTTTTACTTGAAATTTTGCAGGGACATTCTTGAATTAGTGTAGATTGGAATTAAGTCAACAAAAAATTTGACCCCGAGAATGGGGGGGGGTCCCCTTAAAGTTCCATCAGCTGATTTGTTAGTCAGCTGTTTTGTAGACTCATCACTTTATTAAAAATAAAATCCACGATCTATTAGTAACGTCATCCAGAGAGACCAGCTGGATATCAGCTGCCTCTCAAGTTTGCTGTCAAAATAGCTGTTATCGACAACTTTTCTATATAGAATAGTTGTCATCGATAACTTTTCTATATAGAATAGTTGTTATTGACAACTTTTCTATACAGAATAATTGTCATCGACCACTTATCTATACAGAATAGTTGTTATCGATAACTTTTCTTTATAGAATAGTTCTTATTGACAACTTTTCTATATAGAATAGTTGTTATCGACAACTTTTCCATATAGAATATTTCTTATCGATGACTTTTCTATATAGAATATTAGTTATCGACACCTTTTTTATATAGAATAGTTGTTACCGACAGCTTTTCTATATAGAATAGTTGTTATCGACAACTTTTCTCTGTAGAATAGTTGTTATCGATGACTTTTCTAAATAGAATAGTTGTTATCGGTGACTTTTCTAAATAGAATAGTTGTTATCGATATCATTTATTTATGAAATATTTGTTATCGATAACTTTCTATATAAAATAGTTGTTATCGATAAGTTTTCTGTGTACAAATGTTGTTATTAAGAACTTTTAATGTTTTTATTGAATTGTTTACTATGGTAGCCTAGAAATCTTTTAATGACAATTATCCACAAACAGCTGATAGAACAATATCAACACTGTGACAGTCGAGTGCATAAAGGAAGTTTATTGAAAAATATAGTAAATCATAGATATATAAATTATAATTATTACAAAAATTATATGTTTACAATAATTTTGAGATTTGTATTGGAATTTAAATTAAAACTATATTTTGTTTCGTTGTTTTAAGTGCCAATTTTGTTTACAAAATAAAAAAGGTGATTTTTCTTTTATAAAAAATATTATAAATTAAATACTTCACACACTTTTTTATATATTTATATAATATTATTATAAATGCCTTCATGGTTGTTAGTTTTCATGTTGTTATTTAGTTTTGCCTAAAAGTTTTTAATACATAGATTCTTTTTCTTCGTTTACATTAAATTTAGATTTTTTGTTTTGTAAAAAAATTGATTTTCGGTGATTGTTTGCCATTTTAAGTTCAATTATTTTGTTATATACGAATTTCTTATTTTATTATATATAAAGAAAAAATATTTCCATAATTAGTCAGCATCAATTTCGTTTTTTATTCAATCATAATCGTCGTCCATTGTTTTTCATTGTCGTTATCATCATCATAATTTTCTTTTTCTTCATTGTTATTATTTGAATGAGAAAAGGGGGGTTTTGAGAGAAAGTTCGTGAGAGCGAGTGAGAGAGAGGAGGAAAGTTCATTTTAATATCGTGCAGCGTCTTCAATTCAATTCTCAAGCCATTGCCAGATCATCGAATCCATGGGAGGAAATATGTGCTAAATCTCACGCCTTGGCACCCGGTATCTTCGACAGGACCTTGGACAAATCGACACCGGTCAAAGCATTGATAGAGGGAGGTAATTGCGCCACAAGGCGGGTAACATCGTTGGTTAGATTATCGTTGCCGCCAATCAGGACAATCTCTTCTGTTTTGGCCAGAGGAGCAGCTACTTCGGCAGCGATCTGGAAGAAGGAAATAATAATAATTATTATTGATTGAAAACATAATTAGAATAATCGATAACAAAATAGTTGTTAAAGACAAAATTTCTACATGTTATAGATTTTATCGAGAGAACTAGTAGGAAAAGTGGTATCGATAAATTTTCTATAAAGAATATTTGTTATCAATAACTTTTCTAAATAAAACAGTTGTTATCGATAACATTTCTATATATAATAGTTGTTAGCGGATATTTTTCTATATAAAATAGTTGTTATCGATAGCTTTTCTGTAGAGAAATGTTATTATCGACGATTTTTCTATAAAAGATTATAGTTATAGATAGATTTTCTGCAGAGAAATGTTATTATCGATAACTTTTCTAAATAGAATAGTTTTTATCGATAACTTTTCTAAATAGAATAGTTGTTATCGACAACTTTTCTATATAGAATAGTTATTATCGACAACTTTTCTATATAGAATAGTTATTATCGATAACTTTTCTATATAGAATAGTTGTTATCGACATCTATTCTATATAGAATAGTTGTTATCGACATCTATTCTATATAGAATAGTTGTTATCGACAACTTTTCTATATAGAATAGTTGTTATCGACAACTTTTCTATATAGAATAGTTGTTATCGACAACTTTTCTATATAGAATAATTGTTATCGACAACTTTTCTATATAGAATAGTTGTTATCGACAACTTTTCTATATAGAATAGTTGTTATCGACAACTTTTCTATATAGAATAGTTGTTATCGACAACTTTTCTATATAGAATAGTTGTTATCGACAACTTTTCTATATAGAATAGTTGTTATCGACAACTTTTCTATATAAAATAGTTGTTATCGACAACTTTTCTATATAGAACAGTTGTTATCGAACACTTTTCTATATAGAATAGTTGTTATCGAACACTTTTCTATATAGAATAGTTGTTATCGACAACTTTTCTATGTAGAATAGTTGTTATCGACAACTTTTCTATATAGAATAGTTGTTATCGACCACTTTTCTATATGGGATATGTGTTATCGACAGCTTCTCTTTATAGAATAGTTATTATCGACAACTTTTCTATATTGAATATGTGTTATCGACAACTTTTCTATATTGAATATTTGTTATCGACAACTTTTCTCTATAAAATATTTGTTTTCGATAAATTTTCTCTATAAAATAGTAGTTATCGACAAATTTTCTATATAAAATATGTGTTGTCGACAACAATTCTATATAAATTAGTCTTTATCGGGAACTTTTCTATATTAAAAACTTGTTATCGACCACTTTTTATATAGTTTTGTTGTTATCGACAACTTTTGTATATAAAATAGCTGTTATCGATAACATTTCCATATAGAATTGTTATAGTTTCTAATAGATATTATATCTACTTTGATAACCAACTGTATCGCTAAAAAATAATCGATTTTCATGTAACTCACCTTGGGCAGAGATTCCAAAACAATATTCATAATAGCAGCATCACCATATTGTTTATAAACATGGGCCTTCATGCGCATACGTTCAGCTTCGGCCTTGCCCACCAGCTCAATGGCATGAGCTTCGGCAGCACCAATTTTACGAATTTTCTCAGCCTCGGCACGAGCCATTTCAATAGTTTGACATCTAGAGAAGAGAATTTCGATATTAAAAATCTGTCCACTTCCACTTCAATTTCATGTCAATACTTACTGTTTACCCTGTGCTATGGTCTGGACCCTAAATGCCTCCGCCTCGGCTGGCAATTTAACGGTACTCATCAATTCACGTTCCTTGCGTTGAACCTCCTGTACCTCAATTTCGATTTGTTTACGTCTCTCCACCACATCAATTTGGATTTCTTCATTACGAATCTTTTGGCGAATCTTTGCGGCTTGCAGTTCATAGGCTAGTTGAGATTCCGCTTTGGCGGTATTTGTTTCCTGATCGAAATTGGCCTTTTGCAACTTGAAGAGACGTGCATTATCTTCGATTTTTGTATCGGTGGAATATTTCACATCCATTGCACTTTTTTCACATTCAGCCTCTCGAATGCCGGCGTCACGATTTGCCTCGGCTACGCCGGCGTCAGCGTCACGTTTAACCATAGCCGTTTGCGCCTTGCCCAGCGAGGCAAGATATTGGACATCGTCGTAGACATCTTTGATGACGAAAGATAGAATTTCGATGCCCATGCGACCGACATCAGGTGCGGCTACTTCGCGTACCAAGGCAGCGAATTGATCGCGGTCTTTGTAGACTTCTTCGACTGTAAGCGTTCCTGTAAAAGGGGAGAAGAGAATAACAATGATTAGTTGGAAATAAGAAGTAACTTAAATATCGAAGATAGTTGTTATCGATAAAAAAAATGAAATTTAGGTTATCGATAACTTCTATATATGGAATGGTGGTTATGGACAACTTTTCTCTATAGAATAGTATTTATCGACAACTTTTCTATACAGAATAGTTCTTATCGAAATAAATGTTATCGACCACTTTTCTATATATAAATGTTGTTATCGACAACTTTTTTATATATAATTGTTGTTATCGACAATTTTTCTATATACAATATTTGTTATCGATTACATTCCTATATAGAATAGTTGTTATCGACAACTTTTTTATATAGAATAGTTGTTATCGACAACTTTTCTATATAGAATAGTTGTTATCGACAACTTTTCTATATAGAATAGTTGTTATCGACAACTTTTCTATATAGAATAGTGGTTATCGAAAACTTTTCTGTATAGAATACTTGTTATCGATAACTTTTCTATATAGAATATTGTTATCGATAACTTTTCTATATCGATAACTTTTCTATATAGAATACTTGTTATCGATAACTTTTCTATATAGAATAGTTGTTATCGATAACTTTTCTATATAGAATAGTTGTTATCGATAACTTTTCTATATAGAATAGTTGTTATCGATAACTTTTCTATATAGAATAGTTGTTATTGATAACTTTTTTATATAGAATAGTTGTTATCGACAACTTTTCTCTATAGAATAGTTGTTATCGATAACTTTTCTAGATAGAATAGTTGTTATTGATATCTTTTCTATAGAGAAAATTTGTTATCGATCTAGTTTATACAAAGACACTTATTAATCAATAAATAACTTTTCTTAAAAAATAATTATCGATAGAATTTTCTTTAGAAAAAATTGGTATCTGTAATCGATTGAGTAAATATTTCACTTAATTACCACTGTGCATTTTTTTACCTTGTAACCACTGCATATGTTAGACCCAAAATCATGGTCACTTTAAATGCTCCCATCCATACGAATGACATTTTCGATTTTAAATTTTTTACTTAACGACGTTTGCAATAAATAACGATTGACTTCTAGTTATTTAATAAAATTAGAAATTAGTTTCCAAATATTTACAACAATTTATTTAATTTTTTTAATAATTTGTTTCACTTTTTTCTAAAATGGCTTTTAAATTTAAAAAAATGATTTTAAAAACTCCGCTTCGATGCTTTTCTGGAAGCGTTTACGGCGTTCCTTTAGCTTTGCCAGTTAACTTTGCAATGTTTTAAAACGTTTCAAGTAGCCAAGCGGCTATCAAACACTTATTGTTTGTTTATATCAGATATTAAAAACGTCTAAGTAGAAAAGAGGGTCGTATAATTTGGAATGACAGGTTCTTAGTAAGGCATGCAAATAAAAAAAATTAATTGTGTACACATTATCTCCATTTGACTCTATTTCACTTGGTGCCAGTATGACCCACAATACTTCAGTTTGGAGGGGTGTTATCAAAGCAGAATATATTATACACCTAATTCCAATATAAGTCTCCGAAGAAGAGAAATCGGTAGCTCCACTATATATCAAAAAAATATCCAATATAAATTAGATATATAGAAGTTATCTTATTTGTTTAATTTTGTGTGTTTAGTTTTGTAGCATATCTGATTGGGCGCCACTATTTACCCTTTAGCATCATTTTATGAGGATGATGTCAATGGAAGAAATATTCTACACTAAATTCCACTATAAATCTCCGAACAAGAGAAATCGGTAGCTCCATTATATATCAATAAAATATCGGTTCAAAATTCATTATATAAAAGTGATCATGATTATTTAATTTTGAGCTGCTAATTTTTGAGTACTTCTGATTGGGCGCCAATGTTTCGACTTTAGCATAATTTTAGGAGGTTGATGTCAATGGAAAAAATATTCTACACCAAATTCCACTATAAGTCTCCGAACAAGAGAAATTGGTAGCTCCATTATATATCAATAAAATATCGGTTCAAAATTCGATATATAAAAGTGATCATGATTATTTAATTTTGAGCTGCTAGTTTTAGAGCACTTCTGATTGGGCGCCAACATTTCGGGTTTAGCATAATTTTAGGAGGTTGATGTCAATGGAAAAAATATTCTACACCAAATTTCACTATAAGTCTTCGAAGAAGAGAAATCGGTAGCTCCATTATATAACAATAAAATATCGGTTCAAATTTCGATATATAAAAGTGATCATGATTATTTAATTTTGTACGGCTAGTTTTATAGTATTTCTGATTGGGCGCCAATATTTCGAGTTTATCATCATTTTAGAAGGACCTAGTCAATGGAAAAAATATTCTACACTAAATTCCACTATAAGTCTCCGAACAAGAGAAATCCGTAGATCCATTATATAGCAATAAAACATCGGTTCGAATATAGATATATAAATAAGAAAAGTAGCACATTTATTGGTAATTCCGAAAAGAAGGGTTTTCCCCCTTTGAGATTCATTTTAGAGGGATGATATCTATGGAAGAAATAATCTACATCAAATTTAGCTATAGGTCTCGGAGGCATAGAAATTGGTAGCTCCCATATATACCAATGAAATATCAGCTGCAAAATGGGAATATAAACTAGAAAATGTGTATTAATTTCTTGGTGGCCATTTACAAAACGTATCTGAATAGAGACCAATATTTCCCTGTGAACTTTATTTTAGAGGTACAAAGTCAATGGAAAAAATATTCTACATCAAATTTCAATATGAGTCGCCGAAGGAACCAAATCGGTAGCTATAATATATACCCATAAATATCGGCCTCAACTTGGCCATAAAAACAAAACAATTTGCATTTTGTTGTGTGTGGTTTATTTCAAATAACTTTTGAATTCCGCTTAATATCTTCCAAAAAACTTCATTCTAGGGGGGAGGTGTAAATAGAAAAAATATTCTACATCGAATTTCACTATAAGTTCGGGATGTAAAGAAATTGATAGCTCCTATATATACCTATGAAATATCTGCTGCAAATTGGGAATATAAACAAGAGTATTTTTAATATATATTTACTGGCCACTTACAATCTACTTCCGAATTGAGGCCGATATTTCCCGTAATGCTTCATTTTAGGTTAAAGAAGTCAATGGTAGAAATATTCTACGTCAAATTACACTATAAGTCGCCGATGGAACCAAATAGATAGCTTTAATATATACCGATAAACTATCAGCTTTTATTTGGGCTTATTTACCATAAAATTAGTATTTTGTTATTATGGTCATGTGAAAGCTATTCTGATTTTGGGTCAATATTTCACCTTGAGCTTCGTTTTAGATGAATTCTATTAATGGAAGAAATATTCTATGTCAAATTTTACTATAAGTCATCGAAAGGACCAAACGGGTAGCTGTAATATTTATCGATAAAATAACAGCATTTATGTGGACATATCAACCATAAAATGTGTATTTTGTTATTATGGTCATATGAAACCTTTTCTGATTTTGGGTCAATATTTAGCCTTGAACTTGGTTTTAGATGAATTCTATTAATGAAAGAAATATTCTACATCGAATTCTACTATAAGTCCCCGAAGGAAGCAAATCGGTAGCTGTAATATTTGCCGATAAAATATCCCTTATTATTTTGGCATATAAACAGAAAAAAGTATTTCATTCTTACATTATTTTTCCAAAACCTCTTCTGATTTGAGGCCATTAATTCCATTTGAACTTTATTTTTAGGCGATGACGACAATTGAAGAAATATTCTACACCAAATTTTACTATAAGTCGCCGAGGGAAGCAAATCGGTAGCTGTAATATTTACCGATAAAATATGCCTTACAATTTATGTATATAAACAGAAGAAAAGGAATATTCCGTTCTTACAGTAATTTCAAAATACCTTCTGATTTGAGGCCCATAATTCCCTTTGAGCTTCATTTTAGAGGGAAGATACTAATGGAAGAAATATTCTACACCAAATTTTACTATAGGTCACCAAAGGAACCAAATCGTTAGCTATAATATATACCCATAAAATATTGACCTCAACTTGGTCCTATAAATCAGAAAATAATTATTTGATTATTAACGGTCTATTTCAAAACATTTTTGAATTCTGGCCAATATTTCCCTTAAAAATTTATTTTGGAGGGATGCTATCAATGAAAGAAATATTCTACACAAAATTTTACTATAGGTCACCAAAGCAAGCAAATCGTTAGCTATAATATATAGCCATGAAATATCGACCTCAACCTGGTCCTATAAATAAGAAAAAAAGAATTTGATTATTGATGGTGTATTTCAAATAATTTTTAAATTTTGGCCAATATTTCGCTTAAAACTTTATTTTGGTGGGTAGGTGTAAAGGAAAAATATAATCTGCATCGAATTTCATTATGGGTACCCGAAGAACTGAAATCGCTAGCTATAATATATACCCTTTAAAAATGGGCTCCAAATTGAGCAACTTGGTCCTATAAACCAAAGAAGAATTATTTGATTATTGATGGTTTATTTCATATCATTTTTGATTTCTTACCAATATTTCGCTTAAAACTTTATTTTGGAGGGTTGGTGTAAATGAAAAAAGTAAACTGCATCGAATTTCACTATAGGTTCCCTAAGAGAAGAAATCGCTAGCTTTATTATATACCCTTTAAATATGGGCTCCAAATTGAGCATTATTTACATATATTTTTTTATTATTTAATTTTTTCCTTCATAATTTTTCAAATTTCATTTTCTATCACCCCAATAAATTAACACCCTCTCTTTCATTTATCACTTATCTTTCCCTAGACATCTTTTACTTCTAAAGTGATATCTATTTTTTCACACAACAACAATAACAAAATTGTTCTTTAAAGAAAAAAATCGCAATAATAAATAAATAATCATAACGTTTAAAATATAGTTGCCATACATCGGGATTTTTTCTTTTTGTTGTAGTTTTTTTGTTCTTGTCACAAAGAAATTCCGAAGAGATAAAAAATTAAA